ACAGTAAGTAAATGTCCCACTACGAAATGTCGCGGAGAAAGGAAATGGCCAAAGACAGTCGCTGCCAGAATAAAATTGTACAGAAAATTCTAACAGATAACTGAGAAACTGAGGGTAGATCAGATTAATGCGATTTTAGATCAAAGTTTGGTTTTCACTGAACAGATTAGACATGTTCAATTTAAATCCTTCTGTCATCTTCTTTGTATATTGGATATCTTATCAAGCCACATTAAACAAAGGGACTTGAGATTATACATAGTGACTCAGTCAAGCAGAATACTGCACACTGCGCCACACGAGCACACGTTATAGGCCTTGGAGACACAGTCCCACATAACACCAACATGGACAGAGCGACCAGCAAGATGTCTATCCGGACCACCGTGTCCACCTCTAGTCGTCTGTCACGTGGGACGTACCGCGCGGAAGTGACCCACCTCAAGAACTGTTACGTCCACCACGATGAAGACCTGATTCTAATGTGTAAGAGCTGCATCAAACCTATCTGTCTGGTCTGCTCTAACACCGACCATCACCAGCACGAAATCGAGGCTCTGCCCAAATATATCAGGCATCAGAGGAGCGTGTTACAGTCCAAGTGTCGCGTTATCAGAGAGTCCCAGCTTCCGAAGATCCGAGAGGCCATCTCCTCTATTAACGAGGCCACAACGAGGCGAATCCAGAACATCAAGGATCAAGAACACAAACTTATCATGGCGGTCACCCAGGTAGCACAGAAATTGTTGTCAAAGTGCAGACACATCGCCAAACTACAGAAGACAAGGATACTGGAACTGAAGGCTCATGCCTCTGATCTAAAAGAATTTACAGACTCAGTTGAGAAAAACACCGGGGATTTCACCGACTCTGAACTAGTGAGTATGGTTCAAAAGTACAACGCTTTACTCGGCAAAACCAAGCAGCTGGACTCTCCAGACGAAGCAAGCTTAATGAAGTTCCAGAAAGGTGACTTACAGATGGATAAGCTGGAGTCGATGTTTGGATATATCGACACCAGTGAGTACGACAAGAAAGTGCTCATGAGGTACAGAGTTGAAGAACCGGAAAACAAGTTCCATGTGAAGGAGATCGGAATCTTCACAAACGGCGCGGAGGCCATCACTTCTTTGTACCCGGTATCCCCCACTAACGCCTGGCTCTACAGCGACAATTCCCGCCACAACAAGGAAGTGACGTTTAACGGCGAACTTAAACACATGATGGAGCTAGGAGCATACTCACGCGATTTTTTCATAGGGGATGAAGGTAACCACGTGTATGCATGTACGGACAAAACTGTGAGAACAGCGTCGGCCGAGAAGGTAGATATTCTTTTTAGTACCAAGCCATTACTTCCTTTATCGCTGTGTAAGTCTGGTCCCGGGGAGATTTTACTTTCGTTGGTGGACAATCTATCGAACTCTCGTTCTCGTACCAGTACCCGTGTTGTGCAAAGAATGACACTCTCGGGTCAAGTGAACGCTACATATCAGTATGAACATGATGGAAAAACGCCACTCTTTACAAAGCCGTACCGGATAGCGCTATCTAGTCATAAAGATGTCATCGTGGCCGACCAGACCGGCTCTCATTCTGGCAGACTCTGTGTTCTCGATGTGGATGGACGTGTTCGATTCTTTTACGGGGGGAAAGGCGGGAAAAGAGATTTTAAACCCAGCGGTGTGTGCTGTGACGTAGAGAATAACGTGATTGTGGCGGACAGCGCTAATCATAACATTCACATCCTTAACCAAGATGGCGAGTTTCTGCGTTACCTACTAACAAAGAAAGAGGGACTTGTTTATCCGTTCTCCGTCGCCATGTTTAGGGACGTACTGTGGATCGGAGGGTATTACGGCCTTGTCAAAGTCTTCAAGGTCAAACACATTAAATGATACTTGTTACTGTTAATAGTCTTCTACTTTCAAAAATCAAAATACGTTTGTAAAAGTCTGCAAGGTCAAAATTGTTACTATTAATAGACTGACTAATCAAATCAATATACTTCTGTGAAGGTTAGGATTCTCACAAAATTCTCATACAAGGTTAACAAATCAGCACAATAGCCTATTAACAAAACATCATTCCTCTGTTCCACGTTGCCAATGTTAATCATGTGTTGCATTTATGTTAATAAAAAACAAACAAGTAAATCTCAATTTTTATTTTCAACAAGACAAAACAAAAAGGGCATTGGAGATTCATTCAACAAACAAAATCTGTCAACAAATGGTCTCCGTACATTTGACCTTAAGCTGCACCAAACCATGAAAAGTGGTAATCTGTCTACCATCAGGGCCCAATACTGTACAAGGGTCATATCATACAAACCTACTGGGAAATGTACTACATAACAGTATCTTAAACACGTATAAAATAGCTCCCATATGATACTAATTGAAAGTTAACCTCTGAGATTACACTCCAACATGAAAATTAACGGTTCCATCATATGTACAATCATATTATAATATATACAGTGGTTAAAATACACAACCAGAAGTCTCTGTCGAGACTGAAGCTCTACTGGTTTGTACTTATAGCAAAGGAAGAGAAAAGTACTTAAGCAGTTGGAAATTGAAACTTTTCAACAGCAATAAATAGAATAATGATCCTTGATTAAGTCTCTTTATGTTTTTAGTGCAGTCTACTTGCATGCCACATTTATATTATAATCAGACTAAAATTGTATTTGGAGTAGCATTTTGAAAGAATTTCACAGAAATTTCTATTTTTAGTAACCACGGCAACACCGTTCATCGAAATCAAAAACCGATACACAGAATTATGTACCTTATTGTAGTCTACTTGTGTGCCAAGTTATATTAGAATCAGACTAAAACTGTAGAAGGAGTAGCATTTTGAAAGAATTTCACAGAAATTTCTATTTTTAGTAACCACGGCAACACCGTTCATCGGAATCAAAAACTGAGACACAGAATTGTGTATCTTAGTGTAGTCTACTTGTGTGCCAAGTTATATTGAAATCAGACTAAAAATGTAGAAGGAGTAGCATTTTGAAAGAATTTCACAGAAATTTCTATTTTTAGTAACCACGGAAACACCGTTCATCGAAATCAAAAACCGATACACAGAATTATGTATCTTAGTGTAGTCTACTTGTGTGCCAAGTTATATTGAAATCAGACTAAAACTGTAGAAGGAGTAGCATTTTGAAAGAATTTCACAGAAATTTCTATTTTTAGTAACCACGGAAACACCGTTCATCGAAATCAAAAACCGATACACAGAATTATGTATCTTAGTGTAGTCTACTTGTGTGCCAAGTTATATTGAAATCAGACTAAAACTGTAGGAGGAGTAGCATTTTGAAAGAATTTCACAAATTTCTATTTTTAGTAACCACGGAAACACCGTTCATCGAAATCAAAAACCGATATACAGCATTATGTATCTTAGTGTAGTCTACTTGTGTGCCAAGTTATATTGAAATCAGACTAAAACTGTAGGAGGAGTAGCATTTTGAAAGAATTTCACAGAAATTTCTATTTTTAGTAACCACGGCAACACCGTTCATCGAAATCAAAAACCGATACACAGAATTATGTATCTTAGTGTAGTCTACTTGTGTGCCAAGTTATATTGAAATCAGACCAAAACTGTAGGAGGAGTAGCATTTTGAAAAATTGTTTACAGACAGACAGACAGACGGACAGACAGACAGACAGACAGACAGACGGACGGACGACGGACGCATTACTATCGCATAAGCTCTTCTGGTCTCTGACCAGTAGAGCTAAAAACATGAATTTTCAAAGGGATATAATCCTTGCTAACATTTTATAATGACATAGATGTTCAAACAATAAAAGAAATAATAATCAGATAACAATATTGTTGGAAACATGCAAAAAAATACATTCAAGCAAATTTTTAATTTGGTCATATACATGCAAAGAATATAAATATTTAAATAATTTACAAACTGTATTATATTGTAGTCATTTAAATACAAAGGGAAGATCACTTGAAGTGAAAAAATACCATGGAATTGTAACTCTTCAGTGTACAATGTTTAGAGAAGGTCCAAAACAAGAATGGAGTATATCATAAAGCATAAAAAAATATTTAAATTTAAAATTATTCTATATTATATTTAAAGCTTTCATATGCACCAACACGGAGAGTTAACTTATACATACACATAGTCATGTGTAGATGTATAACACGTTAACACTTCAGAGTAAAAACAAGAGATGTTGGTAAAACACTTATGCCCCCCCCTCCCCCCAAATTGAAATTTTTCCAAGTCCAAAAGGCCATAGCTCTGTCAAAAATGGCACGATTGTACATGTACCCAAAACAGAACTTGACCAAGATAGTCATCTGATAAAGCTGTAAACCAAATTTTATTTTAGTATGTGCAACCTCTGCAAAGAAAATGAAAGGAAACTGCAAAGAACTGGAATTTTTCTAAGTCCAAGGGGCATAACTCTGTCAAAAATGGTGCAATGGTACCCAAAACAGAATTTAATCAAGATATTCATTTGATAAATCTGTATACTAAATTTCATCTCAGTATGTGCAACGGTTGTGAAGAAAATCAATGGAAACTTCAAATAATTGAATATTTTCTCAGTTCAAGGGGCATAACTCTATTAAAAATGGTGCGATTGTACCCAAAATAATCTTGGCCTAGATATTCATGTGATATATCTGTATACCAAATTTCATTTCAGTATGTACAACGGTTGAGAAGAAAATGAACAGAAACTGCAAATAATTGGAATTTTTCTATGTCCAAGGGGCATAACTCTCTCAAAAATGGTGTGATCGTACCCATAACAAAACCTGACCTAGATATTTATGTGATGTATCTGTATAACAAATTTCATTTCAGTATGTGCAACGGTTGCGAAGAAAATGAACGGAAACTAACTGGACCGACAGACCGACAGACAGCAGCAAAGCAATATGCCCTCCCTTCTTCGAAGGGGGGGCATAATAATTGTTCCTAATTCTTCCTGTTCCCTTGTATGTCATTTCAGATTTTTTCTTTTAGAAAAGGAAGAAGAAAACAAAATAATTATTAACAAATATCTGCAATACAGTTACACAGAAAAAATAATAATTAAAAAAACAAACTTATAAAAATTCTTTAAAAACACTAAAAAAGAAACCCATTTTGTTACAAACTTGCATTAGTTACTGATTACCATAGACAAATTACTGATTATCATAATGTTGTATAATACATGTACACTCCTGTACTAAAATATGTATTGATTATATACAAGGGATAATTTTTATATACAGCTATATATACAAAGAAAATTCTTTCAACAGATCTATCAAAACAAAATATATAGGGTAAAAAGAAAACAGAAAAACAAAAATATACAACTTGTGAACTGCAAGAATACATGTATATCAAACTAAACACTAGAGACTAAAATCAAGTTTATGTCAACAAAAATTTTGTAAACATTGCATCAATAATTTTATAATTCAGTATTTGGCACAAATGAGTAAATATTCTAAACTGCGATACACTGACTTGTTTCTTAGTTGAGGGGTAATTTTATAGACAAAATGTTTTATTTAAAACATAAGCTTTGAAAGTAAATCTGAACTTTTCAGAAGATCTGTAAGGCTCTTGATTGAATTATTGGTTCTCTTATGAGTATCTATAACATGGTCCCTTAGACCTTAAACAGGGTACAATGTCATCTAAAAAATGGTCATGGGTCAGTCTAATTAGTCTATTTACAAGAACTGCCATTGATCAGGGTCGGTCTATTTACAGGCACTGCCATTAGTCATGGTTCTGTCGTGGACATTTTTTGGGCTGTAATGTTCTCTACAGAATTCCTCGATTCTATCACAGGCCACAGACACTTTAGCTTTGGGAATGGTTAATACTATCCGGAAAAAGTTAGGAAACTGGAAACACTGTAAAATATAGAGATAATAACCGTAATTCTCAAAAGCAATTGTAAATGGTTACATCAGTGACTGTACCGAGACATATTGTTATGGAGACCTACCTTAGCGGGGAGACAAAAAACACTTTGTTCTTTGACCATGTTCTCAGTGAATTCCACATCATCTTTAATTCCCGGGAAATGCTCTGTATCAATGCCAATCTGTAAAATGAAGACTTACAATAAGTCATGTTATAAAATAACATCAATAGTATTCATACAGTGAAATCTATTTAACTGACATTCACTGATAGACAAACTTTATGACAGAAAAGAAAGAATGTATTGCACAGTGCAATGAACATGGAAAGAAAATATAGGTCAGATTTCACAGTGATACAAATTGCATTGGTGATAGACACTTTTCAATGTACAACCATACCAGAAGTACCACTGTACAAACCCACCAGAGTATCACTATAACTTGAACAGATAACTGTACACTACTACAACTCACCATCATATACATGGCACCCTGAGGCTCCACTGGCTTTAGGCCTGGAATCTTAGAAATCCTGTCATAGAAGTTCCTAGCATTCTCCTCCACATACTTTAAAGTATCCTCAAAGAAATGCTCTGGGGTGCCTGACAAGATATCTGGAAGAGCGGCTTGTACGATGGAATTAGGACCAAGGAGTCGCTGAGTCAGTCTGACTAGTCCAGGCCGTACGTCCTTAAAGGCGTCATGGCGATCGTGGATAACGATCCAACCAAGCCTCCAGCCAGGGACTAGAAATCTACAATTACCCACAATTAAGTTTGATCACACTTGTTTTAGTGACTTGTTGCCAAAATGTGGCTGAAATATTGCCAACTTAGCATGAAATGATAAACATTCCTTAAATAACTTTTTTTTAATGATCTTATTACACAAATCTGATTAAAATATTTTACATGACTGGTAATTTGAAAGGATAATTTGATGAAACAATAGTAAATCAAAAGACTAAATGATTTGTCTAAGGTTATTGCTATGATTCTCACCTTTTAGTGAGTCCACTACAGGACAGTATGGGGACGTCATCGGACAGAGATCCCAGGGAGTGGTACTGATTACCAGAAAACACCTATAAATTGTGATTAAAACTGGTCAGTTGAAATATACATTACGCAGGAATATTCTTTAACAAAATTTAAACAGAACTTGCTATTTCTAGAAAAGTTTTAGAACATTTATAAAGATCTTGTATTATATTCATGTAAAATATGGAAGTCTCGTCTCGTCAGGTGCAAAACTTATGAACAAGCTTACAATATTTGAAAAGTAGGTCTACCTTCAAGGTCACTGGTAAAACAACTGATCATAAAATGTTATTGACACAGCTTATGCATATATTAAATTTAAAAACCCTCTTACTCTCATTCAAAATTTATGACAATTAACAGTTTACATTTTTGTGACATAGGTTGACAAAATTTTAATGAATGAGATTTAATGTCCTAATGCTTTTGTAGAATGGGGAAAAAATAATTATACATCACTGCCCAAGAGCTTGCTACAGATTCATATTTCACTATACTAGGCTAGAAATAAAATCTTCATATAACTGTACTGATGTCATTTTATTTGAAAACTTTAAATGGTGCTCTGTTGGCTGGAAACTTAATTTTGAGAATAAATTTATACTAAACTTACAAAATGTTCATAAATTTCATCAGCAATGATGGGAACTTTGTGTTTCTTGGCGAGTTCTAGGATTGCCAGCAGGTGGTTGCGGCTGAAGACAGATCCACACGGATTGGACGGATTATTGATGACGATGGTCGCTGTTTTGTCGTCTATCAGCGAATCCAGGTGATCCAGATCAACTTCCCAGTTCTTCTCTGGCTACAAATGCGAAAACAATCTATCATGAGGTTATCATAAGAAACATGAAGAAATACTGTACTGCAAATTCCAATGTATGTATTTCTATTCAACTTTTACTATTACGTACAGGTTTACCATCACTTTATAGTTATTACTTGTCATATAAACAAAATTTGAATGAAAAAAAAATTTCAATTTTCCGATTTGTTTTTATTTTTTATGTACCAGTAGGTTGTAGTGCTTGACGTTAATGCCGTGGGACTCGGCCAGAGTTTTATAGATAGAGAAGCCCGGCTGAGGTACGATGATATTCTGTCCTGGGTTAGCCAGCACACAGATACACAGATCCAGGGCCATAGAACACCCACCAGTCAAAATCACATCCTAATCAAAATAAAAAATATCACAATTGTTTAATAGTTGAATCATAGCATCATCATGTTATTTGATAAATGTGAAATGATGACAGATTTATTATATGTAAAAATATTTTCGAACTTGTTTACACGATTTCGTTCCACATATGGAATAATTACAAGCTCGCTCTCTCCAAAAACAATGCATTTATGCATACCAAGTTGTCATAATCTTATACAAATATAATGACAATTAAAATGTTTCATAGACTACATGTAACAAGTTAATGTACATACTTTTGAATGAAGTTGAAATTAACATTAAGATTCAGCGCCATAAGAAGACAGCAGCAATTTTATTACAAAACACATTTAGTAAATGGAAATGAAAGTGTCATATTTACTGTAGGTGAAATAAATTTTAGGATCAGGCCAGGATATAAACTCTACAAATCTGTATCTGAAACAAAATCAGGCAATAATAGCAAACCAACACAATGGACCATCCTTATCTTAAAATATTTGAAACACCTTACAAATTAGTCTCTATGATTTATATCTGAAATCAACATGATTATATTTATATGCTGTGGCTGAATATGTTCACCTTGACTCAATGACAACATCTCAAAATAAATTTTCATCCTCTCATAAAAATTTGTTTTTCCACATTAAAAATAAAAATATTTCAAAAGCAATATAATTTGAAAACAAAATATTTAAAAGGAAGATGCCTAGGCGCCACATTGCTCACCTAAACAGTGTGGCTAGGAAAAAAGAAAAAAATCAGTTTAATATTTAAAAGCTTAAATGCATAAGTGGTTCCGACCAACCCATAAAAGGGAGGGGTATGATTTGAACAAAATTGAATCTACTAAAGGATGCACATATTTTTTTTTACAAACTGCGACTTTTTTCCTACTAGTTTGAATTTTCATAGTGACCCCTCTCTTATTGTTGGGGGGTCATGATTTTAACAAACTTGAATCTACACCACCTGAGGATGATTCCATATAAATATGACCAATCATGGCTTTGTTGTCCTTGAGTAAGAATTTTTAAAGAAGATTGTTCCTATATATTCCCATGTAAAACTGATTGTCCATTGTGGTCCCACCCATTCCTAGGGAGACATAATTTGAATAAACAAGAATCTACACTTCCTGGGGATGCCTCTATATAAATATACTAGTAACTAATCATGGCTTTTGTTCTTGAGGAGGAGAATTTTAAAGATTTTTCTAATGTATTCCAATGTAAAATTTTGATTGCCCCCCTGTGGCCCCACCCTACCCTTTGGGGACAAGATTTGACAAATCTGAATCTACACTATAGCCATGCACGGGCTTTCACATAAATTTAATTTTTTCTGGAACAGCTCAGAAAAATGAAAATTTCATACAAAGAATTATGAGGCAGAAGAATTCTATTTGTGTGCTAAGTTAAATCAGACCAAAAACTGTAGGAATTTAAGGTAAGAATTTTACAATTACTTTTAACAGAAGTTTTTGTTTTTAATGTGTGCTAAGTTAAATCATGTATCCAACATGAATCAAATTTTTCTTTCAGTGACCTTGAACTTGCACAGATGACCTTGGGTGTCATGACACAATAGGTCATGAGGTATTTTTGTGAATTTTACAATTACTTTTCCAGTGACCTAGAACTTCCCCAAATGACCTTGGGTCAAGGTCAACATCTTTGTGTGAAGTACCAAGTATTTTTGTTTTTAATAATTTTTCTTCCAGTGACCTTGAACTTCCCCAAATGATGGCAACATCAATTAACAAAATCAAAAACTGATGCAGGGAACTTTGTATCAAAGTGTGAACTATTTGTGTGCCAAAGTACTGGTATACTGAAATGAGATCAAAACTGCAAGTGGAGTAGCATTTTGAAAAATATTTTTACAGACAGATAGATAGATAGATGACGGAACCTTACTATTTGCGAAAGCTCTTCCGGTCTCTTTCCAGGGGAGCTATAAACACTTACTATGATGTTATGACAATAATGAAATGTTGACTGAATAACATACTGAAATGGATAACACTAAATGCCCTGGCCATTTCATGGAGGGGACATTTGCACTTTGAGTTTGAAATTCATATAGATTATTTTTCTCTTTAAAGTGCAACAAATTCATGTTTTATTTGTTTTGTCAACCACCTAAAAATATGTAATGTAAGTGGCCTTGAATTAAGCTAGGATACATAACAGCTAGTTGTCAAAAGAGCACTAATTTACATAGCTAATAGGGATAACAACCAACCCCTGTCAGGCACATTAGTTTTTATGAAGTACATTTAAAAAAAAAAAGATGGAGAGAAAGAGGGAAATAGAGTAAATATTCTTTTACTTAAAGAATAAAAAAACCCCTGAAATCTCTGATGAGACTGTAGCTCTACTGGTTTGTACTTTATACAAAAGAGAAGAAAAGGGACACTCTGACTTGAAACTATGCAACAGCAATAAATAGTGATACTTTGTTTTGTTTCTTTTTATGGCAAACTTTATTGCAATCAGTCTAACACTGAAAAAGGAGCTAATTTAACATTTTTTTATTTAATTAATAGAAAGTTCCAAGATCATAATTAATACCGTATAAGTGGAAATTTTAGCGAGACGCAAATTTAGCGATTTGTCCTTAAAAACTGGTAATATTAATGTTATTTTATTTTAAAATGCCACATTAAAGAGGCTATTACAAATACAACGCAATTTATTTTTAATGATATTAGATTTTAGCGATCTCGGCACCCTCGCTAATAATGCCAAAATTAAATCCTCGCTAAAAATTCTACTTATACGGTATTAAATTATTCACTGATTACATCTAGCAAAATTTTATTATATCATTCCCATATATTGCGACATCAATGGAGGACATATCAATCTAAGGTATATTATATTCAATAACATGAAAATACGAATTCAAAATTATTTCCTGTGTGTGTACACTTTATGTCAACAACTTAACCTGGCCATATGCCTGCTGTCCAATTCGATTTTTCATAAATTATCCAGACAGAAATTTGCTTGATATTCAATTTTTAAATCTCTTTTTCATTAAAATGTCAGTATTCACCTTAGCTGTGAGTTTTCTGTTTGGGGTTGATGAATATTTGGCCACTGCTTCTCGGGACTCCTCATAACCTGCCATAAAAAAAAAACAAAACACAACAGTTTTACTAATGAGAGACAGAGATAAATGAATATGCTGAGAAGGCAAATAAATGTTCCAAAACAAAGTCTGCCTAGCAAAATTTATTCTCAGTTCATGCAAATAAGAATGGAGCAGCTGTGACTCTACTTTTTGTTGACCTAAATCGTCGGAGGTCGTACCTATGGAAGGGTTGTAGCCATTGTGTTTCTGACCATGGATCTTGTTCACGAGACAGGTGTTCACATGCTCCGGTATTGGCAGGTTGTTAAAAACAGTCGGGTCTCCTGTTTATGAGAAATACACATTAATATACTGACTACCTGTTAATTAATATATTGACTATTCTCCAACCTCTTATAACGTAATAATGTGGTTGTTGATCTAACCTTTTACATCTAAAGTTCAATGTTTTAAAGTATCAAGTGTTTTTTTTCCTTATATAACTGGTACCAATAATCGGCACCAAAAAGGTTAATTTTTCCCAATTTTGTGACCAAAAATTCCCAATTCAACTGTGAAGCAACAGACTATGACGACATCTTATTTCTTTTTAAATGAAACAATGTACAAGTTGAGTAATTGTTTAACTTCTGCTTAAATCGAAAGTAGAGAAAGTCATAATCTGGCAGGACCTTTGGTGTAAAAAGCGTAGTATCATACATTTTGACAAACTGAAAGCATGAAAATGTGGAAAACATGGGACATTGATTAAGAAAAAGCAATATTAAGTACTTGTTGCTTATTCTTTAAAACACGTAGTAATAGGTAATTAAGTTGGAATAAGTGCAAAATACGTTTTATTTGATTTAATGAGAGAAAATTCTCATTGTTCTTCTTTGATGTTATTTTTCCCAATTGAACCAGTACCAGACCCTTTCCCAATGGGTGGAAAAAAATCGCTGGTATCATTGTTCCAAATATTTACATAATCACCAAGTATGTTAAAATATGGAGAAAACTTGTCTCAAGATGAACTTAATTAAGATTGCATAACTTGAAAATTGTCATAAATAAATCTATATAACCATAGCTGGATTAATATCACAATGACCAAGCCTGGTAAGGCATGGCATTCACAGACCAAAACATAAAGTTGTTTATCAACATATAATATTATTCTTAGATTTTTTTTTAATCACCGACCAACAGATAGAGAAATATTTCATTTTTTTTACCAATCAATAGATAGCATATTTTTTCCCCATTTTACTTATAATAGATAAGAGCTATATATATATATATTTCTTCACTTTTTACTGACCAATAGATAGAGCTTTTTCTTCAATTTTTATTACTGACCACTAGATAGAGTTATTATATTTTTTCTTCAATTTTTCCTGACCAATAGATAGAGCTATATATTTTTCCTTCACTTTTTCCTGACCAATAGATAGAGCTATTATATTTTTTTCTTCAGTTTTTACTGACTAATAGATAGAGCTATCATATTTTTTTCTTCAATTTTTATTACTGACCAATAGATAGAGCTATAATTATATTTATTACTGACCAATAGATAGAGCTATCATTTCTTTATCCGGATTTGGAGTAAGCTGCATTGTGTCTACGATGTTACGGATTGGATTGAATGTCTGGTGGGACATCCGAGAAGCTGGCACTTCCCAGTTCATCCTCATCTTTTTACTTGGTGTAGACATTGTTAATCAATCTGTAAAGAATAATTAATATTATTAAGGAAATTTCTAAAAAATTGTTCTAGAAAATAATAAGCAGAACTGAAGGTTCCTATTTACAATTCCACTGGTAGTCTCTATGCAAGCATTTTTTTGGGGTCAATGTATCAAGATCCTACTGCTTCATCAAAAAGTTAACAGCATATATCATGCAAATAAGAATGGAGCAGCTGATTATAAAGCGTATTATAAAGCGGATTATATATCATGACGATAACGAGTCATTCCTTAAATCAATTGACTTTTAATTCATTATCAACTCTATTCAATTTTAAGTTAAATAATTTATTTGTAAGCGCCACAAAAGTTTAAGAGCTTGAAGAATTTAGAATTTTATATTGGGCAATAAGCATTTTCATTTAACATGTGCATCTCCATTAACCAAAAAATTTGTATATTGTACATTCTTAAAACTGCCTCACATATGTGCAAGTGAAATAATTTTGTTTTTGAAAATCTGTGAAGAAAATTGTTACTAGACAAGGTATCTGAAAGAAATATGGCGGAATACAGCTATAGTTGATATGAAACAAATCGCAGGTGAAAATGTCGCCTTTTTAAGAATTCATAAACTTATGCAATTTATCCTTATCCAAAAAGTTCATCTGAAAACAGTGGTCAGAGTTTTCAATGTCACAGTTTTTCTTTATCTTAAAGATCTACTTTGTCTATCTTAATTCCATTAACTCAAAATATTGACTTGACACAGACACCAAGAAAGTTAAATTTTCATCACTGCCAGTACTACATTTATCACCTGGGACATTAAAGTGTGATAATAACATAATCTCTAAAAGCTGATCTATTGGACATTTTCTCATTTTCCATGAAATAAGCAAGCTTTTGCAATAAAGATTTCAAAAATAAAAAATAAAGGGCACCAGAAAAATGTTACTATATAGTAAGTTTCTTCATCTTGATAATCTATTTTCTGGAATGCTGACTTTTTTATTAAAGTACAAAATTTCACTTGTCAGTGGGGACAACTTACAGATTTCCTGATCAATTTAACTTATCCAGGACATGAAGTGAACATATTTACAAGGTTACTTAAACAGATGAGTCAAAAGTACTGACAACTAAAATTGTCAGAATCTTTTATTTTAACAATTTTTAGGAGTATTTGAAGAAGATTCAGAATTTTTTTTTTTTTTTTTACATTTAACAATCTGAAATACAAGCTCCTATATGGTATAGTACTGGTTTTAAACTTTAAAAAAGCTTAATATCTCTAATTCTACATAACTTAGTGACATACTGTTGAAGTCTGTCTATAACCATCGTCGCAAACCACGGCCAACAATGCCCAACATGTACAATCCTTTCCCATTCTGGCCATGGTTGAACGAGGAGAGAATTCTTCGTAGCTCATTAAAATATTGACCAATGCGAGTAAAGCATAGTCGGATGATGAACTTTTGCGACCACATATCCAATCGCAGTATGCAAATATTTCTTGTAACGTTGATCACAGTTGTTGATTTCAAGTGCTATGGAAACAAAACTTGCCACTGACTGACTATGACATCACAATAGAGAGGCGTAATTATTTAAGGAATGACTCTAATTCTTGGCCAGATTATCGAGTATAATATGGTTTGGGTCAACACAGCGGATTAAAAAAACTTTATAATCCGGTGCATTTTGCAGTTATACTCGATAAGAGGTAGTCATTCCTTAATTTAATTTTAAAATAATTAAACAACTGGGGATGTAAAATTGTGTTGTTTTTATTAGTTCAAATTTAGCAATAATACAACCGTAGTAACGGAAGTGATGGGAAGCAAGGGGAGGTAAAAACTGATACATAGTTTTAGCAGCCATGATGCACATGAGGTAAATCGAGCAACTGTTTGAAGTTAAAGGTACATTTTAAATCTGGAATTTTTCATGAATCCGAAGGACTGGAAATGAGGGGATTGATGGATACAACAAATTAGCAGGGGGTGTTACCAAACCAGATTATACAAAATGTTATGCGTTCCTTTTTGGAAATCAACCAATGAGAGACAAGAATACAAACAGAATTAAATTATTCATTATTACAACACTTTTTGTGATCAAGCAGCCACGGGTAGGAGAGAGAGCTATAAATGCGGACTCCCGACCGTGGCTTGAGACGATGGTCTATAGCATTATATAAAATTTGTGATGACTTCAAGAAAATTTTTTTTTTGTAATTATTACCGGTATAATTTTCAAGTCATATTTCAGGGCACTAAACTAAGCTTGCTTGAATAAAAATATTGTTTTTTATTATATGGTCCCTGCAACCAGCTAGGTTCAAATTAATTAATTTTAATATAAGAAGTGCATGTAGGCCTTTCAATTTTTTTTGTCTCAATGAAGTTAAAACAGTTTACTCACTTCTACTACATGTATACTGGTCACTTCTGGAGATTGTGAAAATAATAACATATATACTGTATCATATATCGATATAAAAACATTTACCTATTGTAAATTTACTTCACAGTTATTTATTCACTAAGTTAAGCTGTTGTAATAATCTTCTATCGTGTAAACAAAATGCAAAGCGCAAAAATGCAGTTCTTTTATATATTCAGTCGAAAACAACCCACACACGTGGTTTTACGCAAGCAGTAAACAAGTTTTGATCGTGACGTAAACAACTTATTCATCATTCATGTTTCGTATAAAAACACAATGTTTAAGTCGATAAACATACATAAAACACTGTAATATACATATTCTAACAAATTATTACGAGAAAAACAACAATTTCTCAAAAAATACTCACTTTTAGAAGGAGAAATACTTGATTTTGTTCTCTCTAAAATTCTATGTCCTTGACTTCGGGAAAGGTTGCTGAAATTCTGAGATTTCATTGGTTTAAAAGGTGGGACGGGCAGGACAGATATCGCCATCTAGTGAGTAAGTAAACAACGGAACATTACTCGGCTTTTTCCGTCGCGATTTTTCTCTGATTTGACGGAAAAGGCCGAATGATTGTTCAAAGTACTGAAAGTAAGCATACTTCCATATGGAATATTAACACACTTTTTTTTGCCATCATCACTTACTTTTTATAACCCCCGCTTCAAGCAGAAAGTGATTTCCTGTTACGTAGTTGATTATATCACAGTTGTACAGAACAATATGTATTCGTGTTTATTAAAGTCTTATCAATGCAACAAAATGATAAAATGTCACTTGTAAAAAAAAAAAAAAATCAGTGAGCGGGTTTTTTTCCCCCCCCCCCCCCCCCCAAACCCCCCTGAATCCGCCACTGATATCACTGAATGAAATTTGATGAGACTTTCACAGAATCTTTATTACATATTGCCATTGTGACCTCCTATTTACTTTTATATACCCCCGCTTGGAAAGTGGGAGGGTATTATACCCCCCTCCCCCCGCTTGAAAAATGGGAGGGTATATAGTAATCGGTATGTCCGTCCGTCCGTCTGTTACGCTTTGGGGTACCCATCTCTTATCCGCAACTCCTCTTATACTACTGAGTGAAATTTAATGAAACATTCACAGAATCTTTATTACGTATTGCCATTGTGCGCTTCCTATTTTACTTTTTTATTCGGCACATATTTTATGTTTCCCATAGCAAAACATGGACATTGCCATTATATTCTTTCCTATGACGTCACATATGGCGGCTTCTGAATAACATTTGATATGACGAGTTATTCCTTTTTACACATTACCGTAAAACAATATAATTATAGCCAACTAGAGGCACTGTGAGCAGTGAGCTCACTAAATGATATCCCCGCCTCTCTTATGATAATAATGGAAGAAGTTCATGTTTTGCTGTGGCCGGAAAACCCAAAATATGTGTCGGATCAAAAAATAAAATAGGAGGTGCACAATGGCAAATATGTAATAAAGATTCTCTGAAAGTTTCATTAAATTCAACTCAGCAAGGCCGTAACTAGGCTCAAATTTTTAGTGAGGCAAGGGTGCTGGGCATTCCTAGTACAATATGGGGCAAGGGTAATGCCTGATGGCCAGTGGTGAGGGTTTCCAGGAGGAGGGGGATCCTGAAACCTGGGTATTAGAAAATAAAATATTTAATCTTAGAAAGTGTTTACGTTTTGAATTGTCGCCTGCATGGCACAGTGGTAAGAGCGTATGCTCTAATTAAAGTCGCAGACTAAGGAGTTGATCCTTATATCGCGGGCTCAATCCCACTGCGGGATGTAGAGACAGGTCCTTCGGATGAGACCGTAAAAACCGAGGTCCTAAGTCACAGTAAGTGATGACACAAACAAGATCTCGTCGTCAGTGACCCTGAAAGCCCAGCAGTACAGATTTAAAACTTGCAGCCCTCCACCGGCAAATGGTGGTCAGATGTCTCAATATGAATGAGAAATTCTTAGAAAGGATGTTATAAACAATCAAACAATATACAAAACAAACATTTTTAATTATATTTTACATGCGTTCTAAATGAAAATGAGGCACCTGGTGAGATGAAAGATTGACAGATATTGAAACAAAAGTTGAAATTTTAATTAAGCACGAAGACACACTTAATTTATAAGTTCAATGTAAAACATTTTCACTTTTCAGAAAACTCTAGTCTAAAAATTTAGTGAAGCATTTGCCTCACTTGCCTCAATGGTAGTTACGGCCTTGCTCAGTGGTTTAAGAGGAGTTGCGGATAAGAGATGGGTACCCCAAAGCGTAACAGACGGACGGACGGACATACCGATTACTATATACCCTCCCACTTTTCAAGCGGGGTTTATAAACATGGACATTATGGGAGGCGGGGCATCATTTAGTCAGCTCATTGTTCACAGTACCTCTAGTTTTTTTTTTGGGGGGGGGGTTGTTTGTTTGTTTGTTTTTTTTTTTTTTTAACTTTTTACACATATTTTGGGTTTCCCATGCAAAACATGGACACTGCCATATCATGTTATATTCATATGGGAGGCGGGAGTATCATTTAGTGAGCTCATTGCTGAACAGTACCTCTACGTGTTTTTTTTTTAAAAAAGAAGTTTTTTGTACTTTCACACAAATTACTCAAATACAAACGAACCTATACATGTATGTAAATAAATGTACAAGACAATATGAAATAAAGCAAAAATAAGAGGTAACTAGAGGTACTGTGAGCGATGAGCTCACTAAATGATACCCCCCCCCCCCCCACCTCCATATAGTTATAATGGCAAAGTCCATGTTTTGCTGTGGCCGGAAAACCCAAAATATGTGTCGGATCAAAAAGTAAAATAGGAGGTGCACAAAAACAATATTTAAAAAGATTCTGTGAAAGTTTCATTAAATTTCACTTTATGGTATAAGAGGAGTTGCGGATAAGAGATGGATACCCCAAAGCGTAACAGACGGACGGAAGGACGGACGGACGGACGGACGGACGGACGGACGGAATTAACGATTACTATATACCCTCCCGCTTTTCAGGCGGGGGGTATAAAAACAAAACTAGTGTGAAAGAAGAGAGAGAGAGCACAAAAAGTATAATTTGCTCACGTGACCCATGACTATATAGTGTGGTCACGGTGTAAATTAAGGAAAGGAATAAGTCGATCTTTGATTTAATGGTTTAGTCGTTGCTCCCAAAACTCAAAACTTTGCAGGGGTGTTTCTATCTAGTTGGAGTACCTTTTTGTGAAAAATTGGAAAAAAATGGACGTGTGTTTAGAAGTGTGTAACATTAAAAAATTATGGCCTCTCAAAATAGCAATGATAACAATTCACAGTGTAATCATACTTTGACGTCGAGAGTCACCAGAGCATCACCACAGATGTCCGCTATTCATGATTGCTTGCGGTCAATTGCCGTTAAATTGGACAACATCAATATTTTACAGCAATCAGTAAATAATATGAATCGAGATCTTTGGGATGAAGATGGGTATATAGATGAGCGTATCATATACATCGGCCAACAACATGCGTGGAGATAACGTTGGAGAAATTGAGACGCTGAAGAATCATCTCCTACTTTGTTCAGCTGTTGTTATACCCCCGCTTGAAAAGCGAGAGGGTATAAATACAGTGTAGTAATCGGGATGTCCGTCTGTCTGTTCGTCTGTTAGACATTATGGTACCCATCTCTTATCCGCAACTCCTCTCATACCACTGAATGAAATTTGATGAGACCTTCTCAGAATCTCTATTACATATTGCCATTGCGCACCTCCTATTTTACTTTTAGATCCGACATATATTTTGGGTTTCCAATAACAAAACATAAACACTGCCATTATATGCATATGGGAGGAGGGGGATATCATTTAGTGAGCTCATTGCCCACAGTACATGAACCTCTAGTTATAGGGAGGGGGGTATATAGTAATCGATATGTCCGTCCGTCCGTCTGTCTGTTACGCTTTGGGATACCCATCTCTCATCAGCAACTCCTCTTATACCACCGAGTGAAATTTGATGAAACTTTCACAGAATCTTTATTACATATTGCCATTGTGCACCTCCTATTTTACTTTTTGATCCGATACATATTTTGGGTTTCCCACAGCAAAACATGAACACTGCCATTATATTCATATGGTAGGCGGGGGGTATCATTTAGTGAGTTCATTTCTCAAAATACATCTAGTTTAATATAAAATACACAGAAAAAATTGTATAGGCCTAATTTGTTTCTAAATGATGATATTAAAGTACTGTAGAGTTTATAATTAAAGAATTCAGACAAGAAGCAGAAATGCTGAACTTTTGCACAATTCTACCAAACTGAACTAGGCCGTATACTGTGAGCAATGAGCTCACTAAATGATACCCCCGTCTCCTATATGGTTATAAAGGCAAAGTCCACGTTTTACTCTGGGAGACCCGAGATATAAGTGTCGGATCAAAAGTAAAATACGAGGTGCACGATGGCATTTTGTATCTAAGAATCTGTAAAAGTATCATCAAATCATATTCAGTGGTATAGGAGGAGTTGAGGATAAGAGATGGGTACCCTTTTATATTATAGAAAAAATGGCCTGCTCATGTTTTGTTCCGGGAAACCCAAATTTTGTGTCCGATCAAAAAGTAAAATAGAGTCACACAATGGCAATATATAACAAAGATCATGTCTGTGAGAGTCTCATTAAATTTCACTCAATGGTAAAAGAGGAGATATGAGATGGGTACCCCTATATAAAGCGTGAAAACAGGCGGTTAAAAAACGGGTATTGAAAGGAACGGAAGTGAAAAAACATCCGATTTTCGACTTTGGGAATTTTTTTGTTGTTGTTGTTTTTTTTTGTTTTTTGATAGTCAACTTTTTCAGGTAATATCCCTGGCCCCCCCACTTTCAAAATCCGCTTTTTCAAGCGGGGGTATAGAAATAGGAACAAGAGGCACATGTGTTGGACGATAATATCATGAATGTTTTGTCATTGGTTAAAAACTGACATGAAAATTTTACAGTATTTAAACTTAGTCGAAAAAGAACATATTTATTATGGCTATTCATCTAATAATATTTCTGTTTTTGCATATATCTATGATTTCAGTATTAATTATTTCCCGTTGGTCGCTGTCAACATGCTAGATCTCTTCACATTGACCGTAGACATAAAGCAAATTATATACTAGGAATAACACTGTTTTTCTGTCAAATATATAAGTTTTAACTTTTTAGAGCCTCCTTTAATTTACAATTTTAATATCGGGCCATCTTTTTGGTTGCTTCTCCCAACCGACTGACTAAAAATGGCCCGACTCAAGATTTTTCTTACATTCCCTGTCAAGGTATTGTTTTTCTTTCTATACCCCCTTCTCCTGCTTGAAAAGGGGGAACGTATATATAGTTATCGGAATGTCCTTCCGTCCGTCTGTTTCTCTTGGGGGTACCGATCTCTTATCCTCAACTCCTCTTATAGCACTAAATGAAATCTAATGATCGAGAC